ATATATATAAATATCTATTCCAATATTTAAAATTATGCACAGAATTAGATGCCAAGTTTAATTATTTTACCGGGAAGATTAGGAGGATAATGAATTTAATTACAGTTTTAATTACTTAATCCTTTGAGATTCGCTCGTTTCGCAAGGAAGCCATCTGCTTGAATGCTCAGGTTTCGTGCACTACTGGCTTCCTTAGAAATTCATACCGTTAGAGATGTTACTTCACGTACAAACTTAGTCCTACGGACTTATAATCTTCTGCAATTTAATTCCTTATGGTTTGAATTTTGTTTTTCAAAAGAAAGACAGAGAAAAAGAGAAAAAAAAAGATTAGTCACATATAGTTTCTGATGCGAATAAAATTGTGACATTTCAAAGTATTCAAATTAATCAATCGCGATTAATTACAAAATAACGATATTCAATATCAAATAGAAATAAGTTATTGTATTTTCAAAAATAATTTTTTTTTGTTTATAAATGTTATATGTTATACATCGAGAAAATTTTACAATACGAACATAATACAATATTATATAAAAAAAATACATTCTCTTTTACAACATCTATTATATATAAATCTGGAATATAAATATAAAACATTAGGATATTTACTAGGATATTTACTATAAAAATTGTAAATTATGTATTTGTTTTATTGTTAGTTAATGATTATGATTATTAATTAATTAAAATTGTATTGCGTACCCTTATAAAAGTGGTTACATATTATGTATTAAATATTATCGAAGCGTGTGTTTCTATGCTTACATCTGCAATTAAAGTCTTTCTTTGTGAAATTATAGACGGGTCATAATAATGTCATTTATGTTCACAAGAGATTAAATGTTTCGTGAGAGATTACAATTATTATTAAAGGTTCTTACCTAACATCCTCGTGATATTATTTTGCAACATGACTAAATAAAGGATGTAATCTATGACAAAGATCGCATTTTGACCGACTATTAATTCGGAGACTAAAATAACTGTAAAACATTTTATTAGTAAAAATATGAATTTTGACAAAGAGAAATTATCGTAATTAATTTTTTTATGTAATTAAAAATCCGACCATTTTAAATTTTAATAAACATTCTCGTAAAGCCCTTATATTAACATTACATAAACATGAGATTTTCCCTCTTAAAAAAATTAAATAATTTATTTAAACACATTGCGTGAGTATTTTAACAGAAGTATATGTATTGCGCTTTGCATTCTGATTTACAAGTACAAATCTAAATAATTCCACAAAAACGATCATTAAATTTTAACAAATAAGAAAAAGAAATTTATATAAAATTATACATTAAACATTAACACAAAATTATAAATGTCAAAAACTCAAAGAGTTATGTATGATTATCGAAAAAAAAACCGCAAAGATAAATTTGTATCTTTTATTCTTTTATCTTGCTCTGTTCGCATTTCTCCATCCATCGATTGTCCACTCAATGGAAAAAGGACTCGAATTTCAAAAAGAATAAAGAAAGGCGTCCCCGTATAACTTCCTTTACTGATCGTACATATTCTTACCGCAAACCTCCTTTCATTCACACACGTAAGATATATATGTAAAGAGAACACACGTAGCCGAGTTTCTCACAAAATTCTCTTGATTCTACCGTGAAAATCGTCTGCGTTCAAGTTAAAAGTTGTGTAAAAAGTTTTCTTAGCCTCTTAAATTGAATCAATGAAAATGTCATTGATTAAAGCAGTGACACAAGATTTCACCGAAGCTCAGTGAGTATTTCAGTGAAATATTTCAGTAAAATATTTCAAAGATTTTCAGTGAAAACACTCACATTTTGTTCCTCTGTCTCATTGTTAGTCTATTGATTATGGCAATATCACTGAAAAATCAATAACAATCGTACATATTTGTGTAAGATGTAGAATGATTCTGATCTTTGAAAACTTCTTCTATTTATGAAGAAGCCTCCACATATACACATATCTAAAATAAAACATATATAACTATTCAAACTCAGAATTATATACAATAAAACTCTTTTTACTCTAAACAAACAGCACTTTTTTATTTTAAATATTTTATTGATTAAAACAGGCACTACCATTAACTGATTCTTTTAGTGATATTTGCAGTGCTATACTAATAACTGAGACCATCAATAACTAATTCACTGCTTTTCAGTGATAATACACTGATTTTATTTAAAAGACAACAAACTGGCGAATGTGTACCGTCACACATAAACTTCGACTATTATTATGGATATTATCTGCTATCGTATTATTATTATAAAACGCAAAAAAGCAACCTTTAAGAAATCGATCGATTAAAGAAGAGTACGGAAAGTAATTTCGTGAAGCAATTTGAGGATATTTATTTTTCTTCGCATAAAGCATCTCTCAAGCAAACTTTGTTTGTAACACAAAAACCCGCTTACCGCGAATTAGTATATATAATTAATGTCTACACATATTTAACGCGATATTGAAAGAATGAAATACAAAATGCGCGCATGAGTTCGTTTATAGTTTTTTTAAATTTTATTTTTTGCGAAAAGATGTAGGTTTGCAATGGGACAAGAGTAAACTGGAGATCTAATTATTATCTGATGACTTTGGTTCCTGCGCTTTCCCGCCTAAACGCTTTGACATTTTACGCAATTAGCGGAAACTAGCGCACTTCAAAGGCTCTTTTTTCGGGACAGGATATACTGCGTGATATAGCAAGGACATGCAGGAGGGAAACGGCTCGTCCGGAAAATAACGTATCCTTCCCATTTGGCTGAATAATTGGGTCCCGCACTTTTTCGGTGTCCTCATCCTCTCCCGCATCCCTTTCGTCCTTCCCTCATCCCATCTCCCCTTCAACATGGCTCGAAGAACTCTCACTTTAATGCACTTATTGTTAATGCGATTCCGCCAGGTTTTCCGCCTGATGGTTATCTACCTTTCGTTGACAACGCAACATCGTTTACCTCGTCGTTGCAGGAACGTACATCTACGTGCCTTTTTCGCTTCCACCCACTCCACAGCTTCTATTACGATCGTCAGAAAAATTGAGTTTTTGTTCGCTGAAAGAATTTAGGTACTCACGAAAATATTTTTAAATCAAGAAGAATCTCTCTCTCTCTCTCTCTCCCTAGCTACATTCAATTTTCGCATAAATACATTCTTTAATCTTTTAACTGTTTTAAACATGAATTTCTCATCTATTGTATCTGAGTAAATTATTCTGATATTCAAAAAGCTAACATATTAATGTTTTTTTTTTTTTTGCGTTACTGATGTAAAATGTGAAAATATGATGATTTTGACAAGTTAGAGTACAAAGGAGACTCTTAATCTTGAGAAATTCGTCACTTTTGAACGATTATTAAAATTTTTGTGTCTTTTCTTTGCTGATTGCTTCTCTTACAACATTATCGAAAAAAGAAATCGAAATGCATTACACGGCAAATAATTTTTTATGCGAAATTATTTTACGTTCGTGTAACACCGTTCGAGAATCCGCGCAACAAAATCCTTTGATAAAAAATCATTATATTTTATGCGCGACGCAACCAACGTGCGCGCGCGCGCGCGATTGCCAATAATGGGAGAAGCCAGAGGACAAAGGATCTCTCGTTGCGAGAGGCGAAATAACACAACGGCCAAGGTTTTCCCTCGGTCATTCATTTTTCATTTTATAACCGGTAAGCACGTGCCTGCGAAATCCGAACCGCATAAAAGCACTCCATTCAATCTGTAATGCGCTGTCATGATCCACGCCATCGCGGATTCAGCATTGACGGAATTTTTTAGGCGGAACTCCGAGGTGACGCGTGACGAAAAAGAAAGAGAGAAAGGGAGAGAAAGAGAGAAAAAAAATCGCACCCAGCGATGTAAAATGTGTGGCAGCCGCGTCGTCGAGACAGAAACGAATAAAACAGCCAGCGGAGCCGACGGGGATCCGATGTAAAATCATCGGCCGACTCTCGCGCTTAATGACAGATAATGCGGGTATTATACGAAACGAACGATGTTCGCCATCGATCCCGATCTGCCCTCCGCGCGTGATTGCGTTAATCGGCTTAACGGTCGCGCGCACGCCGGGCAAACAAATTGCCCGTAAGCGACGCTTCGTCGTACACCCCGTATATAGTTCTGTACAACCCCCGTCACCGCGATACTGACACGGCAGAAGAGGATTTCCGATTGGAGTTGTGTAGAGAACTTGTGTGTGCGTGGTTCGCCTGTAATGCATCTGAATTGTTCACTTTTTGTACTGGATTTGTACTGCGCGTTTTTCAGCCGTTCGCTCGTTGTGACAGATCTCTTTCGGTTGATCTTTCGATGGATTTTTCAACGAAATCTTTCGATTTTGAGATCTCTCGATTTAACTGATTGATCTTATCGATTGATTTTTTATTATCTATATTCTATATTATATGTTTTTCTGTTTGTTTAGCTAATACTTTCTGGTGTATAATTTAATTTGCGAATATTTTAATGTAAATTTTTTTACGCTTGAAGTTTATATTAAACGCAAATATCTTCAAAATATATGTACAATTTTTAAATATATTAATTTAATTCTTTGAAATATAGTAGTTGAGTAAAGTCATTTCATAATCTTTTTCTCTAATATAAATAATAGTTTTATATTTGTGTGTATTAAATTAAATTGTGTAAAAAAATAACAAAAGATTCAGTTTCTTTTGTACCTTTTTGCAAAAAAGTATTTGTTTATATTAATTTACAACAAAAAATGTTAGAATTAAAATACGCGCATCATAGAGTTAAAAAGTCAATCGAGATTTGCATAAAATGTTGCACAAAAATTTGCACGAAATGATGTTACATAAAACTTTCCAAATGTACCTAATTTTATATCTAATATTAATATCATAAAAATAAATCAATTGTATGCTATCTTACGTGGAAAAAACATTGTAAAAATATTTTTATGATTATACAAAGTAAAGAGAAATTGTGCCTGCTATGCCGCAACGCAGGAAGTTATATTAACTAATTCATGTATATATGTATAAGAGAATAACGTTTACGTAATTGGAACAGTGTGAAACTTGAAACTTGGTGGAGTATTAGTTGTAAAACTCATTAGCGCCGGATACAAACTAATTTCGATAGAATTTCTTGTTAAGCGATTTACTAAACGACACCTACGGTTTGTGTCAAACGATTTATATCAAACTATATATGCTCGATAAGATGTCACGTCAATAAATATTGAAACAAAAATTACGACGAAATGACAAGTTGATTAAATGATTTCAATTTTGATTAATTCTGTAAATTTTACAACATTAATTTCATATATGTCCAAAAATTTTGTTTTGATTGAATAAAACTGTCCCGAATAGTTTCTGGAAAACATATTATTATATTTTTCATATTATTATGTTTTTATATTTGTATCATTACAGAGATCTATGATATAAATCAAAGAAATAACTTTTTCATTTATCCTAAAAATATTTAATATTTTATTACGGCGACGTAATTAACAGAGATGTCTGATAATCGCAAAATAAAAAATTATTCGACACAAAAACTGTGACATAAATTTATGATGATAAAGTTTGCTTTATTATCGTATTCTGTTTTTTCTGTTTAATTAAATGTGCTACCGTAGATAATTCTAATAGAGACTACTAGGACATTTTGGTAAATCAGAATAGTAGCAAGGGTAGTACCTTGATCCTTCGTTCGTGTAACGAATGCAAAATCGAACGCTAGAAGACGGTGGCAATATTTTTGGTGCTGACGAAGGGCAATATGATTTTGAATCTGATGGTGGTGGGCAAGGTCCAGCAATGCATATAGTAGGTGGTGGTGGTGAACGTTCTGGTCTTGGTCTGCACATCTACAAAATTAAACCTCAGTATTGCAAAAGAATACGTTACAATTGCTTAAATTTGTATATATATAATATATTTCTTTGTTATTCAAATAAACGCAAGAAATAAAAGCATTCAATTAGAACGTAAAACTGCTGCAATTAGAATTGTAAAACAAAAAGTTATTCGCCTCACGCGCGTGCGAATTTTATGGTTATTTCGATTTATTTCGTGTCAACGAAATTTTCTTTACACATTTATAAATATTTGTCTATACAAATGCTTTATATTATTTCTACCAATGGTGGACATGAAGGTGGAAAATAACATCTAGGCAGTCTTGGTTCGGGAGGCAAACAGCCATAGCTTGGACAACGAAATGGTATCGGTCTGCAATGATGACACGGCGGAGGCAAAGTACTCGACAGCTTTTTCTCTTTGTGACAAAACATTTCCCTCTTTTCCAGAAAACGGATTAGGGAAGAAGAATTTTCTAGTACATAAAACTATGCCGAGTTGGACTTTTAATGGTTTTGCAAATTTCACGTTAAATTTTGCCAATATATTTGTAAACATCTAATAGTTGTGTCTAATCGATCGACAATCTTTTGTTTCAGAAAACTGACGTTTAGCCATATTCCTTTCGCATTGATATATATCATAAGAATCCATTATGTGACTTAAAATTTTTTTTAGGATTTGGTCGGTTAAAATAATTTCTTTTTTCTTTCTCTTCTTTCTTGTTCTCTTTCAGTCAATCATTATTTTGAAATATTTTATATAGATGTTGCCTTTGTTCTTTTAATTCTTTTTAAATAATAATAAATTTCTCACTCTTGAAATAAATTAATTCATATGAAGCTATGTGTAATTATTGTAATATTTTGAAACTGGATTCTCAGTACAGATACTGGATTCTCAAACCACTTGAGACAACGAGTTATTTTCCTTGATGATTCTCAGAAAGATGACAACATGGTATGACAGGAAAATAGCAAGGCGAATAAGTAGCTCTATAAAAATCGAGAACTGGATAAAACAAGGACTTCATAAATTCTTTGATTGTTTCATAATTTTATGTATTTTACATGTAGTCCCATTGTCAGTTTAATTTAATTTTAACTACTTTCTAACTATATGAAGTAAAATGTTATGAAGTGGTATAAAGTATATGTTGGAAAATTTTAATGCAATTGTCGGTTGATCCGCTTTATATAAAATGTATAAGAATCAAATTTAGTAACATACCTGTCACGAGTATACGTAAGTTGAAATTGAATGGCAGATCCATAGGGACGCGATGACATGTCAAATATATGTTTCGGGCGTGCATAATCTGTACAGGATAATTTGGGAGAACAACGTGAAGGAATAGTAACTGGAAATTTTGGGAAAGCGCCCTCAATTGACATATTGGCTTTAGACATGCTAATATTTCTATATTCCAATTATTGTGCAAAATAAGTACAATATTAATTTTAATTGAACAAATATCACCTAAAATTGTTACATCTTTTATATCACCGTGAATTTGGCGAGTTTGCATATCGCGACAAATTAATATTTTAATAATTCCATATATCGATATGAAGATTCTTTAAACAGAGAAAATTCTGTCATATATATATATATATAGTACAATTTATTAAAATTATTTATTAATATTACGATGCAGAAATAATTATAAAAAGATACATAAAAATATGACTGTGCATCGATAAGAAAAAAAATTCTCTACGATCACTCAACATAAATAACTTTTTTTTTGTCTTTTACGTACCATCAATAGCCGTATCTTCTATGCTTCGTTGTTCAAACGATCCCTAGAGATAAAATTATTATTGTATAAAATGAAAGGAGATGTTTTATCACGATAATAATGGATTGATCACAATAATTTATATTTTTGCGTTATTTTGTACAATTGCAAAATCTCGACGTTCTCTGGAATGCTGATACCATATTCAAATAGAAAATTCCCCGTTTTTTCTCTGCAAAACGTGGCTTTGTCCTTCTGTTCTAATTAGCTCTTTTACAATCGAGGTAATCGGGTTGCCCATACTCGTCTCGTACACGAACAAATTGTTTTTACAATTATGTCACAAAACTTACGATAAGAAGGATACGATATATATCGAATACGCAGACAGAAAATAGGAAATATTTGTAAGAAGTATCTATAAAAAACTAATATTACACTATCCGTTTGGCAATTTTATGATTATAGATTGTTAATCGAAATTAAGTTATACAGTAATACTGCACCTTCGATATTTCTCGAGAAACTGGACTCTCGCACTATTATTTCTCATTATGAATAATTAATAGCTAATAAACTCGTTTTTAATACTGATAATATCGTGATTTCAAATAATTTTTGAATCATTGAACAAAATTGATAAAAACGCATCTGGATTGTCCTTCTTGTCGTAAGAGATTTCTACTGCCGTTTTGAACAAAGTTACTTCCTTAAAAAAGAAGACACCTGGCGCATATCGAGCACACGGTGTTAATACTTATTATTAGAATTAAACGTAATCTATATCGCGAATCTAGTTGTATATAAATAAAGGTAGAAAACAAAGTATATATCAGAGAAAACGTTTGAAGAAGTGACTGATGGGGAGATCCCTCTGGCTGTCCTGACCATCGAGAAACAGACGAGCCGTTTTTCTGCCTCTAGTTCGTTTCTTGGTCCCTCTTTCTTCTTTAGTATTCATATAACACAGCCTTGCTTCCTCCTTCTCTCTGCGTGAATGCCTCCTCTTCGGTTCTGATCCTTGTCTCTATCAGCAAACGTCAACAAATTGATGTCGAGGCCGTTGAGATCAAGGGGACGAAATATTGATTTTAGGAGAACTTCTTATCTTCATCGCGAAAATGGGGATTTCTCCTGCCAACCTTCCGCTTTCGTCGTGGCCTGTCATTGGTCATTCGAACAAGATCTTTCCTGATGCTGTCTTGGATTGTCACAGATATACGAGGTATTGTCTCATATCCCGCTGCTGTCGGACTAGCTCAGTTTAGTCTGCCGGAGAATGGTCTGTCGGGAATTCGGGGAGGAATATTGGGTACGGGACGCCTACAACATAGATAAATATTAAATGTTGGATGTATGCCCACAAAATTTCAAACGGAAGCACGCCGCGGGAAAACAATCATTGAATGGAAAAACGCGAAATCTATACACAAACATAGAGACAAGCTTAAAAAGTTAAATATTTATTTATATAAATTTTCTATCTTTCTTCAGCAAAATATATTAAAATTTAAATATTTTAATTAAATATTAAATATTAAAAATGATATGTGTATAATGTTTGAATGCATAATGCATATTATAATAAATTCTGGAATACATGGTATAATAAGAAAATAATATAAATAATAAATTATAACGTAAGTTTTTTAATAATTAGACGTTAGAAAATAAAATTAGACATTATTTAAATATAGCACATTAAAATATCATCCTTTTTTATGTAATCAAACATTGAAATTTTATTAAAATAGCGTAACAAAACAAGGTCGGACAGAATTAATCACATCTATTCTAAAAGAGAGATATCATGAATGTAAAACATGAATGGAGAAATAAGAGATAAAAATATATTATAAGTGATATATATGATATATGATAATAAGTTTATGAAATATTAAAATAGCATAAATCTCGATAATAGTTTGGATTAAAAAGAAATATAAGTGATTTTTACACAACATGCTTAAGCTTTAGCGACAAAACACATGCAAAAATAAATATAGTAAAGAAACATTCAATTGCATTATTACCATCGTACAAGAGATAAATTGATTAAAATAAACAAAAAGGTAAAAATAAAATCTCATTTTCAACACCAATAACGGCGTTGAATATTTGAAAAAAAATTAATGTTAAAATATGATTCATTTCATAGAATGCATTTTTAACCCATTAATGACTAATGACATTTTATTTTTCATACAAACAAAATAATTTTAATAATGCTCTCTTAAATTTCTTAATCTATTTTCTAAATATTTCCGATTTTTATATATTAAAAATTTCAAGAAAAGATTTTATATATGTCAGTAATATTGTAATCTGAAACCTTTAGAGAAAGAGAAAAAAAAATAAAAACAATTGTGATGTAAATAATATTCTCCATTTTAGAATAAGGCCATATAAGGCCTTCAATGAATAAAAAGTCAATTTTGACAAGATCTTGTACGAACACAATTATAATCATTGATAGTATTTCTTTGGCAACGTAATCCTGAATGCATAAGAAAAAGCATATTATAAAGTCACACAAATACGAGGTTCAATATTTACTGAAAAAGACATACAGAACGCGAATACGCATCCCCGTGCACGAGGAGAACACATTCATCAGTTCTGATCAATTTGATAATTTGATAAGTTCAATCCAATTTTGATAATTTCAATGCTATTGTTTAATATATATAAAAGACATCAAATGCATGTTTTTAACGAGAAAAGTCATAGATTCCTTCTAGATTAAAACCCGACGGAAATGCGTCTTCGATCGTTCGTGAAAGTAACGTTCTTCTCATTGTAATCTTATTTTTCACGTACTTATTTTTCATGTATATATACATATATATGTACGCGTGTATATGTACGCATATGTATACATATATACATGTAGAGATATATTCTATAACATGTTACTTCCTATATACACATTTATATTGCAGTAAAACAGTGTGTTCCTCTCTTACGCGCACATGGCGCAATATTACAACGTATCTTTTGGGATGTACCGCAGAAGAACTTAACCAAGTAATCCTCCAATATTATTATAATAATTTTTAACAGTATCTCAAGGAGAAATTTATCCCAGAATATAATTATGATTTCTTGGTCGGATTTAGCGGTTTGGATAAAAATCGCTATAAAAATCAATATATCGTATAAAAATTAACAAGGGCGATGTATATAGTGTTTTGTATTAATCGACGAGAACTATGCTGTTCAATATCTGAAGTTAGAAGTACATAGTGATTTTGCTGTATGGGTTTCCGTCGCAAAGTTTTGCTTATCAAATGGGCTCAATGTTATATAATTGGAGGATACTTTGCCCGCATACAATCAATGGATTTTGGCACAATAGATAGAAATAGAGAATAGAGGAAGGATATGCGCGCATGTCTTTGGTGCAGTTTCGAATTATTAATTATATATTCCGGTGGGAACATTTAAAGAATTGTTATTTGTAGCACATACGAGGCTGGATCGAAAAGTAACTTGGTGCAAAATAACAGACAATGGTTTTAAATTCAAGTTGTATTTTATTTTTCTCATATACACGAATAGACGAACCAAGTTACTTTTCAATTCACCCTTGTAGATTTGTTAAGTCATCCATCTTATCGATCTTTCTCTTGAAGATTTTTATCATATAAAATCACCATCTTCTTGTGCCAAAACCCTTCGAAATATCAAAACATCGACAGCAAACCCACGATTCACTATTTGACTGAAATATTATCGTCTGTGTGCTCTTTGCTTTTTTAAATATTTTTTTTATAATATTATATATTAAGCGCGGCGATTTGGAGATTCTCAGCCCGTAGTGTACAAGAGAATTACATATTTACTCGGTATTAGCTTTACATGAGATTAAGCGTAACTATAGTGACATATAAGGCTTTAAATGGAAGCATATATATGATGCGTTGAATAAGAATAAGATGTGTATGTTGGAATGTTACAACACAACATTTATATACACAACAATATATATATATATATTGTTGTGTAACATTTTTCCATAAACAATAAAAGTTAATATATTCACCGACTCGACGCAATTTGTCTACAATTAATGTCAGACCTTAACATTTTCACGATTTCATCGTAATATAACGTAAAACAAACGGGAAACAAATGTATTTAAAAATATGTTAAACTATTTGATTGATCATATGTTTCAAACTATTTATTAATTAGATAAAAATTCGCTAAACAAAATTATTATATTATCCTTCGTTGTAAGACTCGAGGTCGATATTCCACCAAATCGTCTCTTGCCCCAGGTGCATTTAATATATTAATTTTCACAATATTACGATTTAACGAGAATTACTACAGGTGCAAACACGGACGCGTGAAACAAGCATTTCTCTTCTCGCTCTGGCCACATAAAGAACGTAGATTTTCTTTTATATATTTTTCTAGACTAACAGATAGATTCAATAGCTTCCAAGGATCTGATGTGTATAGTTGTATGTAAGTGTGTGTGATCCAGAGCCTATTTCTTTTTCTTTTAAAAATGAATATAGATAAGATGCATTCTATCAGAAGGTGCATCTATTCATACGGGGATATATAATCGAGACAGCTTTGAATATTTTGGTTAATAATATTCGGTGCAACGAGTGCAACATGATATGCTCGATCGAAAAGCTTGTAAAAAGGCTCCTATTTGTTCTTGTTTCATCTTGATACATCTTAACAATTCACTAACGCAAAAATGACTACTTTGTAAGTTAGGACAAAATCTCTCAGTCTACCGAGTACGGAACACGAAGATGCATGGCTAAACAAATCTACGGATATATATCTTACAATATAATATAGTGGTGATTTTAATAATATTTTCATAACCACATTAAAGGTTTATTATTCTCTAATACCTCGACGGGTTCAATTAATTCTTCATTGCTTGAGAGGATCAGTATACACGCACGTGTCTCTGTATACAAGTTATACTGTACAATAACATTACAATAATATACTATTTACTGCACGCGGAATTTTTCCTTCAATATTCTTTATTCCTTCTGCGCCAAATGCAACACGTGATATTGATTAATCTCTCGGGACTTTATTAATCGTCTAAACCATGATCTGATAATATCCTTGTCCACGGTACATAAAACCAGATGTGATTAGTCCGACGTGCTTCAGAAAAAGAGCGATAAAGTTTTAAACCAACTTAAGAGGAAGACAATTGAACATACAATCGCTAAAAATGTGTATAATTGAAGAAATATATTGTGCTACAAATTAAAATAAATTAAAAATAGATGTAAGTTGGTTGCAAGGAATATCATTATAGGTATATCCTGATATTGACACAATTTTGAACGAGGAATATAAGTCTTATATTACAATAGTATTTGCGGCTATATTTATGAAGTTTTCTGCCTTTTCTGAATCGTTATTAAATTTGTAACTGTGTCAGTTAGAATACGAACAGCGCAATGACACGGAGAATATGAGTCTTCTGCCGACATTGTTTTTCTAAATTTATTATCTATCCAATGAGACATTCTATATATTGTAACGAAAAATATCTTCTTTTCTTCTTAATTGCACTTCGATTATCGCCTTTAAGTTTCTTCCGAATCACTGCGCAAACGTACTTGAGATGAGAGCACATATCGCTCTATGTATAGTACAATACAGCTTAGCAAAAATTTCCCCACACACACAAGTATATTGCAAATTTCATATAATGAGCTTATAAAGTTGTATCATATTATTTAATATGATCTTTTTTTCGCATGACAATTTCATGCAAGAACTGTATGTAGTACTATACAAACTTTGAAGCACGTCGTTGCCTTGCGAATACGCCAAAGTATTCCTATTTACGAAAAATTCATCTTATATACATACATAGTTGAATCGCAAGCATGATCAGAGAAAGAGATTCGGGAGAAATAATTATAAATTATACAAAATATATAATATCACTCCTTAATGTGCCTCGAATGTGATGTACACGCATTATACACACTGTATGTGATATTATGGTTACTATTATTCTCGATAAGTGCGGTTACCATTAGTTTAAACTATGAAGGAAGGGAGAAAGGAATAGACAGAAGTGGATAGGAAAAAGGCAGAAATGGGGAAACAGGGAGAGAAAAGAGAGGAAAGAAGGGGAGAGGGGGATAGAATTTCGTGACTCCGGATTTTCATGCAAAATCCTCGAAGCATTCTACGCTATATCACATCCTATGTCTGAGCACTTTTTTTTCTTGTTTATATATCGTAAGGATTACGTAATATTTCTTTTGAGAGAAATAGAGAAAGACTTCACGAGCTATTCTGTGTAGTACAATACTTTTGTCATTAAAGAAGCTTTTTTTAAACAAGCTGGATATTTATTCGCGCGTGAATTTTAGTTACTTTCCCAACAGCATGACATTTTCTCATCTATCTCATTATTGCCCACGACGCGTTCGACATTTCCCTCAATATTCATAATTCAAATATCAGATGCAATTCAAATATGAGCATACCACAATATTTATATCAGACTCGCTCTTCAACGATTGGAATATTCTTTACAATCAATGCAAAGTTACTATCGATCACATTATCGGGTTCTGGTAGACTTTCCAGGATAGATTCACTGGATGCAAAATATATTGTTTTAGAAGAAAATTCATAATATTCTGCTCTAGATTCACTAACGAGACTACGTGCAACTTTCCACACTTTTACATGGTGTGTAGATAACAATGATATCGGGTTAACTGTACTAATCTCTACATTAGGGTCCAATTGATTTTTTTTTACACATATATATGTATATATGTATATATTTTTCTTCATAACATTTCCTGATCGTTACACTTTGATTCCAGTTCTGAAGCGTTAAACGTATTTTATTGCTCAATTAGTGACTTTGAAAATTACCATAATTAAATCTTCTACAGAACATTTAAGGTAATATAGAATATTGCTAGGTAGGGGTGTAAAGTGCTTAAATATATATTCGTTTCCTATAATATTATATATATTTTACCCTATAATATATAGATTATAGAATTATTTCTTAGACAAATATGCATGTAAATAAATATGTACACACATGTGTGTACAAATTTAATACCAAAGACATAACCGTTAATAAAATTCATGAAATATCATGCAAGACAGAAAGAAAGACATGTAAGAGACGCAAAGGGACCAAATTAGTAAATTATTCTCTGTGGAGTATCGTTAATAAAGATCTACTTAAAGTAGAGGAAACACTGGAATTAATTCATTCTCAACCCTGAACAGTCTACCATCTACTGCGCACACAACTTAAATGAATACTCATATATATGTATATTATATCGTTAAAGGAATACAACTCGAAATTCAATTGGTGGATATCTATTTACTTGATCTTGAACGCATCCATCAGCTCGTGCACGGCGGCCTGCGTCGCAGCCTGTGTCGCAGCTTGCGTCATCCTCTGCTGTAGACCACCCCCTCGACTAAACACACCACGGATACCCAACTTTGACTACAGATCTCATTCTTACACAGTTTGTTTTAAGTTCATACATTATATTGCTACAAATATTAATTTATAATGCGCCTTTCCTATAGGAAAGCGTGCATAATGTCCTTTTAAATGCAAGATAAAGTAACTTTAACGGGGGAAAGAGATGTATATAATTTTGTAACAGTAGTTATAAAAATGTTTTAACGTAATAGCAACACGATATTCGTTCGATATTCAAAGACAGCGTTTGAACTGTCAGACTAAATTTACCTTAGCTCCCATTTATAAATACGTTTACAATTATATATATGCCATTATTTTTTCTTTCTTTTGATAAAATGTAATGCAGGCACCGACATATTTGTCCATAAATAGTAATTGACAAGTTTCAAATTGGTGTTATGCTTCATATAAAACATTTAAGTGATAAAGAACGTATATGAAGTAAGAAGTGCTATTATATGATTGAGAAGCTTTTTAAACTTGTATTAAATAGGATATATCATGATCTATAATATTACATGAAATATATATCACACGATAATTAGATTCCGAAACTAATTTAGATTCCGAAGACACACAACCGATATTTTTTCTTTTTTATATTCAATATTGCATTTTATCGAAATGTCATGCTGTTAGTATAAGTAAAATAAACGGTTATCTATCTGCCGTAAGAACACAAAGTCCTTTATTTGATAATATTTTCAACGATATATACATGTATGATATACAGCTTCATTGAAGTAATTTACAATCAAACATGTGTGACTCGACTATATGTATATGTTATATCTCCATTTTCTACGAACAAGAAAATTGTACCTTCGGAAATATTTAATATTGCACAGGTTTCATGTACTATAGGCGCTAAAATATAACTACAATTAAGGGTGTGTGTTGATCTTCGCGCGAGAGATAATATACATAGAGAGATAATATACATAGAATAATACGTATATATACATGAATTATACACTAAAATTATTACACTGTTTGCATAAAATATGAATATTAAATAATAGAGACACAATATTATAAAGAATAAAAACAAAGAGTTACTCTATATGTCTTCTTTCTCTATATTCTTAATCTATTACTGAATTAGTACGATTAAATAAAAAATATGTCATTGTCATATATAAATAACACAGGTGAAATGTACTAGAGGAATTGTTCGGCACTTGGAAGCTCAATTAAATTTCGAAAACGTAAAAGACTTGAGACTTGTACGATTGGAATAATAATCCTCGTGTAACTTTCACAACCCTACTTAATTAACATTGACCTTATAATCTCTGTAATGTATGCAGACAGATAGTGAAACATTAGGGAATAAGTGTTTTGTGTAAAATATACACTGACTATATATATATAATGCAATACGGATACGGTATTGATTAGTAGTGAATAGGCGAGTTAGTGCGAAGACTTATTGTCGGCGCCTGCAATAGAAAGTGAAGTTAGCACCCAAGCCCCCAGACACACAAGCTACTGTTTAATATAGACGGGCGAGAGATGTTCGAGAAAGCAAATTGTATTAATTTCACAATTGTGTAAAATGGTACCATTTTCATGTCACGTTATTGCATTGTTATAAATTTGAACACAAAACCACATTACAAACGAGATTATTGTACGGTTGAAACTTCAATGTGCGCATAGTTCAGCATTAGAATTGTGATCAATAAAATTATAAAATCGCGATATAAGATTTAATCAAGATTTTTTTGGCGATATTAATAAATAGAAAATTTTAAATTTTAAATTAGTTTTATATGTGTAAATTATATAATGTATACTCACGATGGTATCATAGGTGGAGGTAGGCCAGGGTTAGCTCGAGTTGGTGGTGGTCCACCCGGACCAGGTCTATTAGGAATGGCTGGTGCGGGTCGACCGCCTGCAGGTACTGGTGGTGGTGCTCGTGAGCTAGAAAGAGGTGGTGGCTGTGTCACTCCGCGTCTTGGACCACCAGGAGATGGTGGTGATAATCTAGAATGTATAGTACGTCTTATAATTAACTTTTGCATTATTCAGATGTTTTAAATTCCTTTAAGAAAACTTGAATTAAACGAAAACTAAATTACAAGAAATACTTACTAAAAAAAATTAATGTACAAAATCTTAATCTGAATGATAATATGTAACATATAGTCTCTCCATATAATCTTTTGATATCATTAACCGAAGATATAAAAACAATTGCACAAAATATATTAAATTAAAATATCAATAAAAATTAATAAAATTCTAGCGACATTTTATAATCTCTCTCTAGCTTAATATTTTTATAGAAAGTACTTAATGCGAAAAGCATGCATAATGTGATGTTCTTCTTAACGACATTATTAGTTCAGAAAAAAATAAAGATAAATACTTCACATATGTAAAGAATCTTACCCAAGACTGTTTCAACCGTGTTCAAATGTATGGCAAAGCAGACGGTACAAAATGTAAGGATGAAAAATTAGTAAAATGCGCGATAAACAGTGCTAGGAATAACATAAAGGTTACCTTGGATTCTCGGCTGATGCCAACCAATCGTTCTTTACGGGTGGTGGTACTGGAGTTGAAACAGTGGCCATGGAGACATCTCCGATAATACGAAGGGCCTCTTTGCATGCATGATACATGCGTAACATCTCTTCCCGTTTCTGCGCCTCTTCAGGGGATTCTTCCATCATGGAAGACTGTAATTGCATACATATCACGTGTGTTTATTCGAGATAACAGTGAAATATATAAAAATAAGAGAATAAGAACATCTCAGAGATATGTATAAATATAGGACTATACCATATGCATACTTGTTTGAAAGATGGAAAACATGGGTTACATACATATTTTTCTTAAATCAAATGTTAAAATAAATAAGGAGAGGGATGGAAAGGATAAGGACACTTACGATTACAGGATCAATGAATATCTTCAAAGTATTTATTTCATCTTTGGTTGACTAGAGAAAAGGATTAATGGAGAAAGGATTAATCTATAAAATTCTTAAAACAAAAGAGAACTATTCTGCAATGAACTATAGCATAAGCACAAAATGTATTGTATTAATATTTTACCTGATCACCACTCGCATAAAGATGTGCCAACAGTTCCCCATTAATAAAGTCCTTAGCATTATTAATAATAAGGTGCATAATTGTCTTTGGAACTAGATCACGAGTAGTTTTCGTAACAATCTTCATGTAAGAATCTACTAAATTCCTGATAGTTTCCACTTGACGCTCCAATTGGGGATCCATTGATGATTGACCCTCTATTTCACCCTGAATAAACAAAAATAAATTATTTAAGCCTTTGTTTTGATTAAGTTGCTTCCAAATGTCCAAACGATTAAAGGCATATATAAGATAGCACTCGCAGTACTGCAAAACATTTCACTAAAATAAAAAATATTGATCAGTCTAAAAATGTTATCAAAATGTAAAGTAACATGTTTTGTTTTATAATGTTGTTAGCATTTTCTGCAATAATGTGCTTGATTGAGGAGGTGTCCAATGCTCATGTAAGTGTCGTGTGCTATGTAATTCTTGAAAACACGATTGTACGAACCTCATATCCTTCCTTTTTAGTTGATTTAAATATGAGACAAAAAAAGCACGATTACTATTATGCACTCAGTATAAAAAGAAGTAATTAGTATTTTATCTTGGAAAAGATTATAAATATAAACTGAAAGATATATACACTCTCTCCATCTTTTTCTTGGCACAAACGTTGCAAGTATAACTAACAGTGTTCAGGAAGCTATGAAAATTGTATTTACATAAAATATAATATTCATATATAAAATAATGTTATAAATAAATTATCGGCATATATATTGCATATATAAAGTATCGGTATATATGTTACATATATACAATTTTAAAAAGTTTAAAAAAATAATCAAAAATATTTTTCCAAAGCAACTATCTTTTTGTTAGTTGTTTTCAACAATATTCAAATCACCACACAGTTAATAAATTGAAAAATTTTCGTCTCTATTACTTTTATTAACTCACCCTCTGCTTATCCTAAAATAAATTAAAATGGATTCTAATAAATAATGTAAACAAATTGAGATATAAGACATAAATCATTTTTTATGAAGATACATACAATTATTTAATTGTATCCTGATCAATAATAAACTCACCTCTCCTTCGCCATTCGCTTGTTCTGTCGATTTTTCGGGATACACACCAGCCCTCAGGAAAGAGGCCTTCCAAGAATCAACATCATCTTGAGTTTCGCAACTCAACTCCAGTTGCTTGTAATCCTTATATACGTTTCTCCCTTCCGGATTGAATAACGCAAATAAATGACGTCGTGACATAAAACCTTGTTCTAGATCACGCAGCTTCAATCCATCTAAAGGCAGCATGTACTTCTTTTCACGTTCCTTCATACATAAAAATATCACTAGTTAGATATCATTCTTGTCAATAATTCTTTTTTCTGTAGTATATAATATTACAATTTTTTAAATATTAAATTTAACCGATTATATAAATTATAATCGATATTTACTTCTTCATCCTTGAACCAGGAGATACTCTCTGATGTTAAAACAAACCAGTAATCTCTTGAACCGCCCTTCATAATACCGAGATTATGTATGCACATGTAGCCTTTGCGAATTACTTGGTTGCCTAATGTATGCCGTCCAGATTTAACAGAATTTTCCGACGATTGCTGTGCACTGTAACATAAAAAATTGTGTATAATGAAATGCCAGATAAGAAATTTTATATACCCAACTGCAAGAATTGTTGCTATCAAATCTTACATTAGTCGGTTAAAATAAGTAAAAAAAACCAGCGAATAAATATCCTAGCATCCATGTTTCAAATAAATATGTCGCATAAAGAAAATAATGTTTGCTTAATATAACATAGCTTACAATGTGTTACAAACTTTTAATTATATATATGTACTATTAAATTCGATAATTCTTTTTATTTTACAATAAGGAAACAATAATATATAGAATAAAGGTGGACAGTACTTTGTGCCTTTACCTACAAAAACTAATGTACATTTATACAACTATTTCGAGAAAAAATCCGAAAAAATCTTTACTTTAGAATTAATATAAGACATATCACAGAATCATCGTGTACTTGTTTTGTCACTTTTGCTTCATGCATATTTCATGCTTCATATAGCTTGAAAAAGTTTTTAAGCGTATATTTGTTGTATAACTGCATAAACAACATTAGCATATCACAAATACGTGCAGTATAGCTATTACTTAGGCAACACTGCAATAATTTTCGATATTGTGATGCAAGAGGATTGCATAAGCGCATATTACATCCATTGCAAAACAATAGATCATAAAACTAAGGCTTGATATTGCTGTATGAAATACAGTTTAAAAATTTCGTGAATGGCATACAGATGTGACTTGGAAATTATTTTTGTTTGTAAGAATCCTAATTTTCTGATGTGCAACTTAAAAACGAGAAATGCTTATCATGACTGAAAATAAAGCAAAGTTACAATTTCGAATGGAAAAAATAAATCCACACAGATTCATATTTAAAAAATTAAAAAATTAAAGAAATAAGAAACAGATTTAAACCAATATATATACAATAGTATCTCACAATATTAATATTATGCAAAATTTTCAATAATACGCTGACTTGAATAGTACATCTACAAATTATAGTATAAGAATTTCTTGTAACTGATTGCATCGAGATTGTTGTAAGAACGTAATTCCAAAATTCAAAGAATTTACATAAAAAAATTCATATAAAAACATGAATCTAAAAAATCTCAAAGAAAGTCAACTAAAGATTAGTTTTGCATATAGCAATTTACATACATTTTTTTATTTTAAATGCTAATTAATTACGGAATTTAAAAATTAATAAAACAATTTAAATTATAAAATATGGATATATAGAGAAAATGTAGAGAGATAATATATATGTATATATATATGCTTGTTTTATTTCCAAAAAAATTAAGTAAACACATTATCAAGCTAAAGACTATTAAAATTTGGCTTATAGTATGTTAATATTTCAACTTAACATGGAAGCAACGAGATATTAAAATAAGAATAAGCGTAAGAAAGAAAGAGCGTGAAAATAAAAAGGGATAAAAATGTAGTGTAAATCTTTATTGGAATGTACTATAATATTCTTACCTTGCATTATGGCTACTGGCTGCAGCGCTGCCGATATAATTAAATCATTTTTTTAATTGTAAAGTTCGAAGAAGAGTTAATAATGAGAAAAGAAAAATATATGGCCATATTATTTTAATTAGGGTAAGGCACATAATCTCATAAATAAGTTTACAAATTATAAGATAATTGTCATATAATTTGATTATTTAATTACAATCTTCTTTGATTTGTACTAAGATATTTATGTATATACATATATATAAAAGAAAACAAGAACTGAAAAACTATTTATTTCTGTACATAATTTGTATGTGCCTTGTCCCCAATGACATAAATAAAATTAAGAAAATTTACAATAACATTTATATAATCTTGAGCAACATCATTATCAATTCTATATATAAAAAATCTATTTTTTGTATCTCTATTATATTTGTATACATAATTAACATAAACTATACGCATTGTATATAATGTATATAAATATCTAGTATAATTATTCACATTCTTATATTTTCCAGAGATATTATTATTAAATCAAAAATAAAAATCAAAAAGAATTAAATATATAGAGAAATATTGCTATATAGCCACAACAATAAAAACCAATTGAGCTAAAAATGTAATATATGCAAATGCAATTCCTTATTCTTGATAATGTGTGAAACTACTTCTTTAACATAAATTGTTAGCATTTCTTGATTTAACAATCAACTGTTTTTATGTAAATTTCAAATGACTTTAATTGTATTCAACTTTAGAGATAACACTGAGAGTAATATACTACTTGATTAAAAGTTTTTATGTATAAGCAAAACAAATAAAACAAGTCAAGTTGTGTTAGTTACAGATAAATAATAGAAATTAATTAAAGTGAACATATTACGAAGACAAATATATGGAGAAGAGATTAGATTAGCACATACTTATGTATGATTTTAGCATAGTATTATACGAGAGTGTAAATTGAATAAAAATAACACTAGATAAATTATTTTGCTTGTCAAATTCTAGAGTAATATTTAATCTTAAAAGAAGGACAAGTTAAGAATGTTGCCATGGTCCAAGATCGCTATGTGAGTTGATTTTAGCAAGACATGCATTGACTGTGAAAGTATATGCGCTGATATCTTGAATAAAGAAATAATGGCAAGCAAAAAATTTGACAATCACGTGTAGTACGTCTTTCTATCATATTTTGTAACAATTTAAAAGTCTCGATTTTTTTTTCTTTTCTTTGCATAAATTCTTACAAATTATCTTTATAGTTATCTATACTCTTTAATAAGCATTCAGCATGCTCTATATTAATTTACCGCCTCGAATCAGGAACTTCAACTTTAATTTCAACATGTGTATTTTAAAATCATATAAACGAATTTTTACTATATATCTCATTATTAAACAACTTTTCATATAGGCTTTCCAACTTCATTTCCAAATTTTATAAAAAACAAATGTACTTTCTAAAAATGGGTATATTTATTATATTAAATGAAATATAGAAATACATTATAGGATATGCAAAATATTGGAAACTTTTTGTAAAACTTTAGAATATGCAATACACGTGAATTCATATATTGCTAATATCTTTTCAACTAAAGCAGTCTTTTAAAACATACACAAGTTCGCCTAAATACTATAACAACATTATACATAAAATCTCTTGCTATTTAGTGGCTATATTGAACTTAATATGAAATTAAAAAATATAGCAGCAAGCGCACACATAAGTGTAACAAAAATGACATGTAGGAACTAGATGTACCAACTTAAGTAAACTGAAAATTTCTGTGACTATTTTTATCTCTGAAAATAATAGTTAAATCTATAAGATATAACACATAAAGAACATTGAACTGTTCAATGATTACTTACTTTGCAAAACCGATAAAATCTTCATGATTAGTGTTCATGTATGCGAGCTCGCAATCAACCAACAAAATCAACTGCTCTTTACACATTTGTTCGCGCTGCCTAACGTACGTCGTTATGATACGTTCTGTCTCTTCCCTTAGTCTAGGATAACGCGACATCTGTAATTTTACACAAACCCCGGTATATGAAAAATAATATAATTGATGACTTTCACTGTTTAAATTTCATAATATAAGATTGTTATTTTATCTTTTACTATTTTGTTACTAAGTTTTGACTTACCCTATCTGTACAAATGCGTACAACATTACTAAGTTCTTGCACAACTAAATCTACACATTTAAGACTTGGTTCTTTAAGTCTATTTATTTGCTTCTTGACTATTGCCTCAAAAGCCATATCTGGGGTGAATAATCCTACCCTGATACCTATCGCAAAAAAAAAATTTAGAGTAATTTTATATTTGTCAAACTTGACACTTGAAAATTGATTAGATGAAGCTAAAATAAACTTACCATGTATATTTCTGATGGCAAAAGCAATTTCTCTCCTTAATTCTTTCTCATCAAATTCCATTTTAACAATTTCGAACGGGAAACGTTCATGGAAAAGTCTGTTAATTTTCGCGCCACCACTGAGTTCATTAGTATTAATTTGTGCTGAACCTGAGCCTTCTATAGTTCTCTCAAAGTCTGACTGAAGTTGCTGTATCATCCTTAAAAATAATTTTCTATTAATTTGTGTAATATAACCTGTTATAAAATAATATTAATTACATAGGTAGAGAGTCTCGATGCTATCTATCATTCACAAAACACATTTGAAATATTTGTTATTGTGTGTGTGTGTGTGTTACAATCTGTAAATTTATAGTAAAAATATCATATATTTCCCAGAAAGATACACATATCATGTGTTAAAAAAAAAGATTTATGTTAGCAAGTGTATTTGTTAATCTTCTTGTAGCAGAATAATTTAATGCAGAATTTTTATCTGTTAATTATTAAACTAAGCATTTGCATAATTGACAACCGCAGCTCTTTAATTAATTAAAATTTCATGCAAATGTGTGGCACACTATTCTTGTTAAAGGAAACTAAAAGAGGAAACAAAGATACCTACATATACATTTGAATTGATCTGAAAAACAAAAGTCAAATGATCTAAAACTTCGAGACACTCCACCCACAATATAAAAAGTATAAGGAACAAAAAGATAAATAGAAATTATGGTTATATTTGCATAGTTGTTATTTTATCAAAAACATGAAATATAATGCACACATTCATTGAAAGAATTTTAATATTTTATAAACATGTAAATCTATGTGTGATATATTCTGCTATAAGATATGTATCTATCATTTTTATAAACACATTTTATGAATGGAAGAAGAATATTGGATAATTGTAACTGTAAACCAGCATGTAAAATTCTAAATTCACTTACTGTAACATAGCCTTCGTTTTGATTGCAGGATCATCAGGTCTGAAATGTTTATACTGCTCGACATCTTTCTCTAAAGTTAATAGCTGCTTTTGTAATCTATCTCTTAGAGCTGGCAAGGTATCCCTGATATGGTTTGTTAACTGTTGATTCAAAACTCTCTGCAAATATGGCGTACCCAACCTGTCTGCTAGATGACGATAAGATGGATGACTAAAAAGTAAAACAAAAGTTATGTATTGTCAAAAAAAAAAGTCATTCCTAAAAATTATTTTCATAACTGTTTGTGTACCTGAGAAAGAACTTTCGCTCAGCAGCTAAAGCATTTTTTATATCCTTCCGTCCTTCTATATCTTTTTGACTTCTATTGACTACACCAATATAACCTCTTCTCAATGGTAATAATTTATTTTCCAAAATATCTCTTGCGTCAGTACCATCATCCATGAGATCCAATTTAGTAATAACGCCAATTGTACGTACACCTTAGAGTATTACATTAAATTAATATTTTCAGTTCAAAAAGATATAATATTAACACTATTACACTGATTAAATACCTTGTGGATCCACCTCCTTAGCGAGTTTAAGAGCATCGCTGTTAGCCAAATCAGTGTTGGCTGGTGTAACTGCCAATATAAGACAATTTTCACGTTTGATAAACTGAAATATCATCCCTTTAATTTGGGCCTCTATATCTGCTGGCTGATCTCCGATTGGTACTTTTGTAAGTCCAGGTAAATCAATTAATGTTAAATTCAAGACTGCAAAAAGATAAAAATGTGCAATTATAAATAACAATTATTATTTTTTATTTAAAGTAGCTTCTTTGTTGTGCTTACCATTGGGTGAATATACTCTAAGATTAATTGGTACATTAGAGATGCCCTTATTACTTCCAGTCACTCTGTCTGTTTCAGATTCAATTTCTCTTCGCACTTCATCAAAATCTACAAACTTCTTACCTTTGCAATGCAAAAATTCTGCATATTCTACATTAAGAAAAAAATCATTTAATTTAATTTTTATAACCATTTATTTGTATTATGTACTACAAAGAATAAATAAATAAAAATATAGAGAATAATATAACATTTCGTATCCTTTAACATATGTATATTTCTGTTACATTGTTTGTTTGGAGATACGCTCAATTTATGGCTTATCATAATTTTAGGCTCAGGAAGTATGATACAGAAAATGTGATAATTTAATGACAAAGTTCAAAAGATAGTGTAATTTTTATGAATTCTACTTTATGCAGCAAAATGACAAAATCAATAATTGTTTTTTATAGATTTATCTATAAAATATAATAAATATGTCACACACATATAGTGCATTAAAAGTTTTCCAACAAGGGTTAAGCAGAAGATAACGTATAAATGCATTAAGCATTACCTTGCTTAAAAGAAAAATATTTGTCACAAGTATATGAGTCAATAGGTTAACAAGATGATATTATGAGCCCATAAAGACTTCACACTTTTTAAATTCTCTCTTATGCATACATATCCTTAAAAGCAATCACAAATGCACAAGATATTGCAAGGATATTGTCATACATATGTAAGATAATTTTTGTATTTATTAAATATTAGGAGACACAAGAGAAATGACATAATCAGTCTCATTTATTACGACTCACCAGTTAAACAGTTAATCAACTGCAAGATGAGTGGTCTCCTTGTCACAATGCCAGAACCTCTGGGCAAGAAATCTCTGGGAAAGAAATATTCATTGTTATAATTGCTCATGATTAAAATTCATAATTTTTCATAAGAAAATATATATAATGTACACTTAAGCACTCTGTTTGAGAACAATGATGAATTAGTCGCAATTAATTATTTTAAAGCGTAAAATAATATATATAAGCCTAAAATGTGGATAGTAATAATTTATTTCATAATATTTTTATTCTCTCTAATAAAAATATATATACTTGTCTTGTTATCTATGTTATCTCAGAAATGATTTGTAATATATATTCCCTCCTCCAATAAGTTTTTAATTCCTAGGTTCTTTATTATAAATTAGTATTAACAAATTTATATCAGAATTCTTTATATATACAATATAATTTGACAATAACACATAACAAATTAATTTTGCATCATAAAAGTATCTCAAGAATTATTACAAAAATAATTATTATTATAATTTTTATATAGAATATAAAAATATATTTTTCTTTTGGCACAAATACTAGGGGGATATTAAATATAGATATATAAAATAGAATCAAATATAACAAATAAATAATTTTATCAAATTAAAAAAAAAACATTAATTCTTAAATTATTTAATTCTGGTTTTTTTAGTAAGTTTTGTAAAACCAACAGGTTTTATGTGTGTATATATATTGTAACTATAAATTTTTCGTTTAATCGGAACATTAAAATGTGGAGACAAGAAATTATAAGAGGGTAAAGTCGTCTCGCCGGTTTTGCGCATGAACGGATGAACG